TAAACAAGACTGCAGTAAACGTTTCTTTCCAAATGAGAAAAGTCTTTTTCGTTCTCAGACGGTTTGAAGGTATTTGTGCCAACGTGACCCCCAGGGAGATTTGGAGAAAGCTTTCTGTGTCCTAGGAGGCTGAGATCTCACGGAGCCGGTTTACTGTTGAGAGCAGACAGTTTCGAGTAGATAGCGCTGGAAGAAACACGAAGAATCTCTCTTGCTTCTTGGAACGCGATAACCACATTTCTCTCTCTATTCCCCCTCTACTAAAAATCAGAATCCGCACGAAGCAGGCAGTCGCTCTGGTTCAAATGAATTAATTTGCCGAAGACTGCAGCTGCTCTTCTGAAGTCAGATTACAATTTTAAAAGTTTATACACATTGAAATTTCGCTACGGAAAGTTAAACGCACGCTAGCAACAACAACAAAAAAGGAATGCATTCAGAATTCCAATTTAATCCTCAAGTTAAAACTGCTCACTGCACGCCCAAATAGCACACACAAACAGTACAAATAAATGTCTGTATACAGGAGTCCTTTTTTTAGGTGTTTTTTGTTTGAAAAAGTATTGAATTGATTTTCATTCAACAAAGATACAGTCTGTTCGACATGTTTTATTAACAGAACTGGTTTTGGTAAAGAAAGTGTAATTTACATTTTTATCTTTAAAATTTTTGGAGGGGCAGATCCACAAAGATAGCTGTGAAGCCCTCTCCCTGAGAAATCGAAAGTCACATTCTCAGCAAGGACCTGCAATTTACAAAGAACAATACAAATTACTGTATTTGGACTAATTTTCTCCCAGGAAAGAGAAATACTGGTTAATTTAGAAAACTCAATTCCAAATAAAATCTAGGAAAATTTGGCATTCCTACAAACACATGCAAAACAAACTAAATGCTTAAAATAGCATTTCAAAATCTCTTTTTATGAAATTCCTTCAACAAGAAAAAACCTCCCAAGAAATTAGACCAGTTTAATGCCTTCTAGGACTCACCAATGCAGTTGACATTTCTTTGAAAGCACAAAATGTATTCACCCATCTCGTAATTAAAATGCTATTGCTTCTGAATTGCTTTTAAAAAAAATGGGTAGCTTTCTAACATTCCTTAACAAAAAACCAAAGCAAAGCACACTTGCACATACACACACACACCCCACCACCACCACCACCATTACCACCAACAAATTAACAAAAACCCATTTAGTGGGTCTCTCTCGATCTCGTAAGTTGACATTGAAAACGAAACTTCTAGAAGAGCAATAAAAAAAAAAAAAAAAAGATTTCCCTGAAATGTTTTGGCTGAGTTCATCACAGGATGATTTTTCATGCTTTAATAGAAAAATCACTTCTGATTGTGGTGTTACATTGTTACATTTTGATTAGAAAGCCACAATAACTTTCAACTTGTTTGTGGCCTTGGTTACATAATTAAATGACCATTTGAATAGCTGAGAGATAACGGGATAAGCAGTGGCATTTACAACTAAAATTATCTATTATCTGCCTATATTTATATGTACATTAAGCAATGTTTGTGTAGACAATAACAGTTATGAGAACACTTTACAGTTTTCAAAAAATTGTCACATTTTTCATTTGATAATGCATTTATTGTAATGGCTAGCATGTGGTTCCTTAAAAAAAAAAAAAGGTACAGACGTTTATGTCTCTATACAGCACTTCCCCTTCAAGGACTTTACCACCGTTTACTGATGATCTTTAATCATAGGGTGGGGTAGAGGGCTTGTATAAATGTATGAGGTGATGAAAGCGTAGGAAGGCAGATACACTCGATTAAAACAAAATCAAACGCTTCCATGGATGCAGCCATCCTTACTTTATCTGACAGTAATTAGCTAAAGTGTCTGGAACGAAAACGTATTATTAGTAGAGCACAGCTCGAGGATTTCAAAGATCTCCTTTTCAGACAAGAGAATGCAAATGCCCCAGAAGGCGATCGTAACTGGATAGGCGTTGGAACCAGATCCCACTCTCTGATAAGAGACTCCTGCGGAGCGACTGCTGTTATACAACTACCGCTCTGGAGTTCTTCTCCTTTCAGGCCCGAGGCTGTCGCGGGTACAGGCTGCGCGCGCGGGAAAAGGAGGCCACCTAGATGAGACTGGCCCGGCAGGGATCCCTGCGGGGAAGCACGGCCACTGGGCAACCAGACCAAGGGAGTCTGAACAATACTGGGGAGGTAGCTGGAGACAACCCAAACCCCTGCTCTGGGCATAAAACTCAGATCAATCTCAGGGATGCGGTAGCAGATAGAGGTTTTCCCCAGGCTGGAACAGCACTGCGCTGGGCTGGGGATGGGGAAAGGAAGCGGCGATAAGGCCTAGGCCCCACCCGCTAGGCCCCTTCGCCTGGGAGTCCTCACAGGCCTTAGTGGCCTACTGAGGAGCAACCTGCCCAGGGTCCTCAAAAGACAACCGCTTAGGCCTGGCGCAAGGTACCTGGCCCGGGGGCGGCTGGGGCGGCGGGATTTGGGGTAAAGGCACCCGTGGGCCTGCTGGTAGGGAGGAGACAGCCCCCTGCGTGAGCTGACAGAGGCGCCCTGGTGGGCTCCGGCGGCAGCAGCGCCTCTGTGGGCGTGTATCGGCGATCGGGCGCTAGAGGGGCGCTTTGTCCTGGTCGCAGTTTTAAGACCTGGATTGTTGGGGCTAGATTTATGTAAGGCCTAGGAGCGAAGCGAGGCTAAGAAGCAAGGGAGTGTAACAAGGAGAAACGCAGGCTTCGGTTGGAAACTGGGGAGAGAGAGATTGTTTCGATAGTCTTTCTCCTTTTCTTTTTCCAGAATCATGAAATCACCAGAGGAGAAGAAAACTGCGGACTACAAGAGAGCAGAAACATTTCCCCTGAGACAGTTTTGCCCCGGAGGTGGGTTGGGGAAGTGAGGCTGAAGCTCAGCTTCCTGCTTGTATGCTCGGCGGCCACCGTTATGCACACACACTCAAGGTCCGCCACCCCGCAGTGCCGTGCACCCCTCCGCCCCCACCTCGGAATCTTTGCGCCCGAGCGCTCGGGATCCACAGCAAAACCAGGCACATTCCTCCCTCTGCAGACTCACCGCCTGGTTTGTAGACACCCATCTGCGCCTGGGGCGTCAATAGTTTCAGGATTTAAAACAGAAACACACCGGGCGCCCCTGTGGCTGAGGAATGGCGGTTCCGGGGCAAGACCCTGCCCACAGAGGGTATCGCCCCACTGCCTGCGGGCAGCCGCCACCTGAGTACTCCCGGGCGCACGCGGCCCGCGCGGCATCCCAGCTCCCCGGGCGGACCCAGGGGCTGCCTCTCCACAACATTTCCGCTCCCTTCTGCAGAGCGCCGCCTCTCCCCCCTCCCGACAGGCTGTCTCTCCCTTCAACCTTGAGCACCCACTCCTGTCGCCGTTGTGGGACCCGCGTGGCAGCCCTCCACCCTCGTACCCACTCCCAGCCGGTGTCTTATGCCGCTCGGAGGCAATGTCCACCGTCCCTGCACCTTTCACCCGCCCCTTCCAAGTGAGACGTGTCTCTTCCAGCTCCGCCATCCTGACGGCCAAAAAATTGCTTGGAGTAGCTGAGGCCGGATGAGGAGAGCCACGGTTGAGCTGGAACCGTTCCCTAATTTTTAAGGCCAGCGCTGCACACGGGTCTTTCTACGGCCCTCAAAGCAGCGCCCGCTGCTCCTCACTGGGCTAGGCCTGGTAGAGAGCAAATGCCTGTTGTGGAAGAAGATGGTCCCTACCAGCGCGGAGTTTCCAGAATCTGTGGGAAACTGCATAGACTCCCCCAGAAAACAACCAGGGCCTCATGAAGGTACCAGAAGGCGTGTAGGTAGAGAAAAAGTAAAAGCCTGTCGGAGAGGCAAGGCCTACATTCAGGCTCCTGATTTCAATAGGCGGAAAAGAAGGCCGCCAAGGCTGGGTCACCTCCCTTGTGAGGACAGATCCTGCTCTCAAAACCGTAAGAAGCCACCCAGTGTGTGCCACACTCCAGCCACGCACCACCAATGCAGTCAACAAACACTGCTTGACCTCCCATACAGAAAAGCAGTAGTTGACACGTACTGAGCGCTTAACATGCGTGAGGCCCTGCACTAACATGCTGGCGTGTTTTGCCTCATTCAACCCTAGCAACAACCAAAAACGGTATTACTGCCTTCGTTTTATAGACGAGGAAACAAACTTAGAAATGCCCAAGATCACACACTGACTAGGCCAAGAAAGAGCTGTCGAGTACCAAAGTTTAGTCATAACTCTATCTTCCTTTCACATACTGCTCTGTGCACCTGCTGCCAGGGATACAAGGGCAAAAGCAACCCCAGGACCCTGCCCTCGTGGAGCTTACAGTCTAACTGGGGCGACCGGGCAGGCACCTACAGCTATAGAATTAAGTGGGAAGTGATAAGTGACACGCATGTCTTGCTAACACAAGTTGCAAGTTCAGAGGCTGAAAGAGGGGACTTCCGGCTAGACGATCTAGGCGCTCTTCCTCGGAGAACATTTTCCACTTGTGGAGGCTAAGGGTCAGAAACGTGTTCCAAGTGGAGAGAAAGCTTGAGCAACGGCAACAAGTTGAAAACGGACATGTCGCCCACCCATAGACAGATAAAACACTCCGTCTCCTCGTGGATCCAGCGCCCGGTATTTACCCGCCAGGAAGTTTTCCTGCCCCGCGCAGCAGCTGAAAAAAGCACACCCCAGGGGCATCCTTCCCTGGCGTTGTTCGTGGACAGCAAGCCTCCCAGAACTGGCCTAGGTCGGGAAGGTGCAGCCACGCGGGAATCAACGGTTCAGGAACCGGATCAGTGCAGCCTCGCCAGCAGCATCTCGGACTTCAGGACTCTATACTAGTCCTTGTCTATTTCTGGTAGAGCCGCAACATCCCACTCCGCAAGAACAGGGGGCGTGGCCCACAGGAGCCGGAACCTATGGGGAGGGAGGCTGGGGCGCCGGCCCCGCCCTCCGACGTGACGCAAGTCTCCCGGACAGAGGCTTGGGAGCCCCGGCCCCAGTCCCTGCAGTGGCTGTAACAAAACCCAGACCCCCAGGTCCCGGCCAATGGAGGCGATTTAGACTGGAGTAGGACCGCGTCTGTCAAAAGCCCGACTCTGCAGCAGCGGCGGAGTCCAGGAGGAGAGCTGGAGCCGCCGCGCTGCCTCCCCGCCCCCGCCGGGATTTATTATTTGGACTAGACAATTAAGTGGCCCTGATGATGTTACCAAGCCCGGTCACCTCCACCCCTTTCTCAGTCAAAGACATTTTGAATCTGGAGCAGCAGCAGCAGCACTTCCATGGTGCGCACTTGCAGGCGGACTTGGAGCACCACTTCCACTCTGCGCCCTGCATGCTGGCCGCAGCTGAGGGGACGCAATTTTCTGACGGAGGGGAGGAGGACGAGGAAGAAGAGGGCGATAAATTGTCCTATTTGAACTCACTAGCAGCAGCCGACGGCCACGGGGATTCAGGGTTGTGTCCCCAGGGCTATGTCCACACGGTCCTGAGAGACTCGTGCAGCGGGCCCAAGGAACATGAAGAGGAGCCCGAGGTCGTGAGGGACCGGAGCCAAAGTGAGTAGAGGGGGAAAGAAAACGCACCCGCACACCTGGAGCAATGGCAGAGCGCACACAGACAGCCCACAAACCTTGCCAGAGCGGCTGCCCACCCCTTTACCCTTTGGCTGGGGCCATGCCTCCGCCCTGGTCGCGAACAGCTCCACAAAGCGCAGGTACCTGCGAGGGAGATGGGGCGGAGAGACAAGGACGAGGTGACCCTGACAACTACTCCTCCCCAAAGGGGGAAATGAGGGAAGGGAAGGTGGTTACTACTGCCCTGATGCTGAGAGGCGATGTGGGCTCAGCGCCTGGGTCCTCATAACTGGCAGTGTTTTTGCTCTTCCCCCCCTCTACCCCACCAAAAGGTTCTTCCCCCAAAAAGGGCAGGAGCCTGGACCTTTTTCGTTTTCCCTCTAGGGTGAGATGAGTTCTCTTAGCCCAGGGCAGCCACCCCTTCTTCTCCAAAAAGACAGCCCAAGCAGCCTGTGTCTCTCTTATCCGCAGGGGGCAGGAACTTTGGTGGAGGCCAGTTGGGTGGTTTCCTCCCTTCTCTGCTTGGAACTCAGCGTCCTTGAACCCGTGGCACCCGGTAGAGAGAGAGGAGATGATCGGAAAGTGCATGGGAACACTGTCTATTCCGCGCGACCATAGCTCTCACATCCCTAAGGCGCCGGCCTTTTTTGAAAATCCGTAACGTTTTGCTTTGTGTCCCAGGCTGCGGGCCGAATAGAAAACGCGCCGAACTTGAGTCCCAGATCTTGGCTGCTCACATTGGACGGGAAGTAAATTGATAGGGAGATGGGATAATCAAATAAAGTCCCCAAGGAAGCGTATTTAAGAGGACAGAATCTCAGTCTTTCCCCAAGAGGCGGTTTGATGTGGCAGAGGCCAAGGCCTATGCTCTCATAGTTCCCAGAGCCTAAAATCGGCATGAAACTGTCTATAACTAGTCAATCAAACTTCATTTTCAGAGGACACACGGACATTGTCATCACATTTGCATGTAGTCTTTTATAAGCCACACACACACGTCCCTGGGCCATGCACAAGCGTTACACTCGGAACAGATTTTCGCTCAACCCATGCCCACCGGCCCACTCATACCAACACGCCTCACACCTTCAGTTATCCTTGGTGGAGGAGAAGGCAAACGAGTTTGCAAATACTGTAGTTATTATGTAGCTGCAAGCCTTCATCCTGAAAATAGTCATTAGCACGTCGAGCCGCACATTTAATACAGAGTAATCTCTTCTCTCGCAGATGCTCAAGATCCAAATAAACACGCACTAACTACCCCTCTCCAGGAAACGCGCCTCCGCCTGCTAAGGGCGTTCTTTCGGTACTGGGGCTGTCGCAGGGTCCCACAGCGCCAGGAGCCACAAACGTTCCCAAAAGTCCAGCCATTTACTACCACACGCTCTGCTCAGCCGCCAAAAGGGGTCACGGTGCTCCAGGACAGGAGCCGCGGTGCGGCTGGTAACAGCTAAGGACGCTGTTGTTTGCTTCTTCCGCAGAAAGCTGCCAGCTGAAGAAGTCTCTAGAGGCGGCCGGAGACTGCAAGGCAGCGGAGGAGAGCGAGAGGCCGAAGCCACGCAGCCGCCGGAAGCCCAGGGTCCTCTTCTCGCAAGCCCAGGTCTTCGAGCTGGAACGCAGGTTCAAGCAGCAGCGGTACCTGTCGGCACCCGAGCGCGAGCACCTCGCCAGCAGCCTGAAGCTCACGTCCACGCAGGTGAAAATCTGGTTCCAGAATCGCAGGTACAAGTGCAAGAGACAGCGGCAGGACAAGTCTCTGGAGCTGGGCGCACACGCGCCCCCGCCGCCG